AATATATACAAAGATAGCTTGCCAGGCAAGGTAATATACGCCCACTGGCAGCTTTGATTTTGAACATAAATATTTAGCAGTACAGTAACAATCACCAGTATGAAATATTCAACCTTCAGTCATACACTTCTTCTGAACTCTTTAGGGCGATAATGAATATTATTGAGTATGAATTATTGCCCTAGTTTTTGAAAACGTGTTCGATCTTTAGCATGTGAAAGCTCTAGAAGACAAATATTCAATCGTCAGCGCGGTAATGAATAATAACACCAAGTTTTGTCAAAATTCGGCAAGAATCATGCCTTCTAGAGTTTTTATGAGCTACAAATTCAACGAGTTTTCAAGATCAAGGGCAATAACTCATACTAAATATTTTTTCGATTTTTCTCATTCTCAATAGGCTTTATCCATGGGTGATAACAAACACTCAAGCCAAATTTCGTTAAAATCCGTCAACAATTGTGCCTTCTAGAGTGTTTTCAAGAATTTGGGCAATAACTCATACTCAATATTTTTAGATTCTTCTGATTTTCAATAGGGTTCATCCTTGGGTGATAACCAACACTCAAGCCAAGTTTCGTTAAAATCCGTCAAGAAGTGTACCTTCTAGAGTGTTTACAAGCTAAAATTTGAACGCTTTTTCAAGGGCAAAAAGGGCAATAACTAAAACTAAATATTTTTCAATTTTTTTGATTTTCGATAGGGTTTATCCTTGGGTGATTACGAACACTCTTACCAAGTTTCATCAAAATCCGCCATGAATTGCACCTTCTGGAGTGTTTACGAGCGTTTCAAGAACAAGGGCAATAACTCATAGTAAATATTTTTCGATTCGTCTGATTTTCAATAGGGTTCATCCTTGGGTAGTTACAAACAACCATTCCAAGTTTCGTCGAAATCAGTCAATAATTTTGCCTTGTGGAATGTTTACCAGAGATTGTGGACGGACGGACGGACCGACGGAAAGAGGTGACGGCAATATACGCCCCCCATTTCATGTGGGCGTATAAAAAGCGCTGGCATGAAAAGGACTGTATAAGAAATAGACGTAGTTCATTGACCTCTTACTAATCTCTTTAATACTTAATCTAGATCTCACGGCAACATCAACATCTGTATTCACTAATTCAACATATCATTTGAGCTAATCAGTGTCATTTGCAAGCCTTTCTATCCTATTCTTTTCCAGGATGTGCAAGAAATATATGTCTAGACCCCCATACTGTCTTTATTATTCAATACCAAAATATCATTATTTGGAGAAAGAGAGTTTTTTTTTAATGACAACCCACTTGTAAAAGAGCAAACCAATTTTGTTCAGAAATACCAACAGTTAATAGTAATATCGGAGATCTCCAAATATGTAATTTAGCTATTTCGAAACTATATTTTTATACTATACTCCCAAATACATGGCGTTGTTGAATCTCTTTTTAATGTTGCCGTTTAATTGTAGGCCTATAATTTTAAATGTTTCCAAGATTATCCATTTTAAATATTCGTTTCTTGGAAAGACGTTTTGTGTAAAGTCTCGGGTTGTTACTGTAACTCAATACTAAAAATGGTAGTTGAATTCAATCCATTTTTTGTAGATGAAGTCTCCAAGATCTAGTTCAATGTCTGTACGTTTTACGACAGAAGGTCCCTTGTTATAACTGAGGTAGGATAAGAAAATACAGCCACCAAACAGGTTGTTATATGTGATCAAGGAGATAAAACTAGTTAGTTCACAATAGAGGGAAAAGATAGCTTGCCAGGCAAGAGAATATACGCCCACTGGCAGCTTTGATTTTGAAAAAAAAATATTTGGCAGTGCAGTAACAATCACGGGTATGAAATATTCAGTCATTCGCTTCTTTTTAACTTTTTGTGGCGATACTGAATATGTTACTAAGTTTTGTAAAATCAGTCAAGAGTTTTGACGAGCTAAATATTGAACCCATTTTCAGAAACAAGGGCAATGACTCATACTATTTTTTTCTGATTTTCAATAGGGTTCATCCTTGGACGATTACATACACTCACGCCAAGTCAAAATCTGTCAATAATTGAACGTTCTAGAGTTTATAGAACTTGTATATAATTTTCATCAATGAGTAATAAGTAGGTCAAAGTTATTTCATGTTCACAATCATCTGAGTAATTTTGACAAAGTCAAGCTTTTAGACATTTTCAGGCCTTAAAATATATTAAGATGTGGGCGTTCAAAAAGTCTCAGAATGTGGCGTCACACATACTTATTCAGCAGTCCCTAGGCTTGTTCTGGGTGTTGATGAGAGAGACTATCCATACTAATTATGTTTGTGGATTAATATTTAAGAAAAAATGCGGTGTGGTTCTGTTTTTTTTTTAGTTTTTATTTTAGTATTATTTATTCATAAAATAGGTCAAAAAAATATCACATAAATTTAATAGTTAAAACATTTCAATAATGTCACAGAGGAAAGTTAATTAAATTTTAAAGTTATGCCAGCCTCTCTACATTCAACAATATATGGATTAAAATTTATTTAAATTAAAAAATTCCCTGCACCACACTTAGATTTAATGCAATTCAATTGATTCTTAAGAATCTCAAAAAATAATAAAAATAGATCAATCCGTCTTTTGTTTGATAAAATATACAGTCGTCTCTAGACAATAGCGAAACGGGCAGCGGAAAAAAGTAATACTAAAAACAGATTATGCTGCGACCGGGGGATTATTTCATAACCAAAAATCATCCACCTTTTAAATTGTTCATTACTAAATCCAACTTCTAATAGAGTTGTTAATATATCTGTGAGTTGGTCCAGGAATTCATCGAGACAACAGCATTCAAACAATACATGAGTCAGTGACTCATTCTTTATCATATTATATAAAACACAAAAAGGATCTGATCGCAACTGCAAATATATTTCCGACCATTTGTCCAAACAATATTGTGTACTATACAAAAATCGTTATTAATCATTTCAGAACTCTTGTAATTGCAGAAAACACCTTCTGAAAATTGACATCAAACCCTTTAGAATTCCAATAAAATATGGAAGAAGGTTCCTTAAAAACAACATTTCTGAGATAAGAATAAGCTCTCTTGGCAGTAAAGGAATCTACAGTAATAATTTTCCCATGAACTTCAATATGGAAATTTGTATAATTGCATCGACCGACTACCACCTCTCAAAGCAAAACCATACACAGAATATGATAATAATGGCAAATTTAGTTGTGTGGAATATCAGGGAATTTATTTTGAACATTTTCCACAATAGTCAATGGTGACAAGAGTCCTGTGTACCACCACTAATATCGCAAATCTTCGTTATCTCGGAATCTAAAAATATTCGACTAAAATTTATTCCAAAATATCAGGATTCAAATATTTGGCTAACCAATTTAATTTTAAAGAATCACGCCAAATTGAAATTAAAGAGATGTTCAGTCCACCATTAAGTCTTTCACCCAAAACAGTTGAAAATTTAATGAATCCTGTATTTTTTTTGCCCCAAAGAAACTTCCTGGTAATAACATTAAATTCATCAGATGCCCAGTTGGGAATACTGATAATCCTTGCCACATACCACAGGAGTGAAAATCAAAGTGTTTGCAAAATGACTGCCTTACAAACCAAAGAAAGTTGCCTTGAAGACCACATACCAATCACACGCTTGAATTTTGACAGCTTTCCATCCCAATTTAAAGGCTCACAATTACTTCTATTTGGGCCTAAATGAACACCGAGTATGAGAATACTATCGGTAAGTATCTTCAGAGGCAGACTTAAATCAGAGGCAGAGCAAGACGCACTTCCTGTTACAAGTAGTTCGGATTTTTCAATATTGACCTTTGCACCAGATAGATTACAATATTCATTAATGGAATTAAAGGATTCATTTACAGATGCCAAATCAGATAAGGTTAAAGTCATGTCATCAGCGTGCTGGTAGATAAGTGACATTCTATCAGAATCTGGAATAGGGAGACCTTTTATACCTATATTGGATTTTATAATTGCATTTAGAGATTCTGCAGATAAAACAGAAAGAAGTGCAGTAATAGGACATCCCTGTCTAACTGATCTCATAACATCAAAGGACTTAGAAATATGACCATTGATCTTGACGCAACTTTTGATATCATGATTCAAGATTTTGACATAATTGCTAAATTTCTCACCAAAACCCATACAAACAAGTACATTAAATAAGAAATCATGCGATACTCTATCAAAGGCCTTTTGAGAAGGAGGTTTGATCAAGTGAGATGACTTCGGAAACAACTGTTTTCAATCTTAGAGCAAGGAAGCGAGACCAAATCTTATGTCAACGTTGAGCAGGCTTATTGGGAGATAGTTCTTTAAATTAGTCCTTTCACCCCTCTGCTTGTAAAATGTTGAAATCAAACCGCGCTTCATTGTAGAGGAGAGTTCATTGCCACTTACTACAATTTAAATAACTTTGAAATAACAGTCACATACAACATCCCAAAACTTGATAAAAAAAAACTCAACGGTTAATCCATCAAGTCCTGAGTAGTAGCAGAGCTTACATATTGGTCGCACGGGGATTCCCCATTTCATTTCATGGGGAAAATGCGACCAATATGTATGCTCCCAAAAAAGACCTAAACTCCCTAATAGCCTCGTTTTAAATAATGTTATTTTTAGTCTAGAAAGGGAGATAACTCTTGTTTTTGGAAACACAATTTTCTACTCAAATTTTAAACCTTAAAAATGGCAAATAAAATATTAGATCCAATCTTTAGATTATACGATCCCTTATTCATTTAACAAGAAAAAAGAGGATTATATTATCATCTCTCCGACTGTTGGTTCTAAATCCCAATTGAATGATGGTGGTAGAATTACCTTCGAAATAAATTCATTATCGAATTGGTTGCTTCTTTCCGATGCTTATTTCAGATGTGATTTCAAAATAAAAGATGGAACTCAGAATCAAGTTCCTCAAACTAATACAACGTTAGAAAACAATTTCTTTCCATCTTTATTTAGCGAGATGGTTTTGGAAGCTGGTTCAAATCCGATAGAAACAATTAAACATCCTGGGGAATTCGACACAATGTTGAAAACAGTTTTATATCCTAAAGATTTCGATTCAGTCTCAGGTTGGATACCCGATGTTGGTGATGGAAGTGTTTTAAAAGAACCGGTAAGAAATCTTGCAAATGATGCTGATTTAGCTAGAGTGACAGTTGTTGCTCGAAACACAATAGAAAGAGTAGCACGAGCAGCTAATCATGGATTCGAAAAACGAGTACTTCAGTACAATAATGCTGTTGAGAATAATAGGTGGGGTAATTACGTAAATTGGAAATTATATCCTTTATTCGGTCTGTTGGAACACAGAAAGGTTTCCATAGTGTTACCATATAAAATTCATCTACAAAGAGAAATCAACGATAAGATATTTTTTGGAGAGAATGGTTCATATGCAAAATTAGAAATAACGAATCTCCAACTTTTCATACCCGTAATAGCACCATCAATTGAAGTAGAAACGAGAATATTCAACTCATTAACTAAAGATATTGAAACACGGCCACATGGCCAATCACTAACACTATTAAACCAGCAAGATATTTAATAGTTGGTTTCAAGAACTTACCAGATTCTCAAACGAATAACAATAATGTCTTCAGAGTGGCAATGAACCAAACTCAAGATCCTTTAATCCATAAAGTTCAAGTAAGATTAAACAACGATAATTATCCTAACTAACCTTTAACAATTAATCCAACCACAAAGGATTATAATGAATTGTATAGAAACTATAAAAATATGTGTGAATTATTTGGAAATCCTCCTCAGTTTGAATATGTAGATTTTGCACTTAATCATCCAATCTTCTGTTTTGATCTATCAGCTCACCAAGAAGATCTTTTCAAAACAGGAGTCAACATAAATATTCATATTGAAAAAACACAAGGAGATGTAACCGGTTATTGTTTACTACTCGAAGAAGCAAAACATTTAATTAAAATAGCAGATAGAAGAATGATAAGAATTGAGTAAAAAATGCAACCTTAAAAATGAAACCAGAAACTTTAGTTATGAAAATAATAGAAGCTGTTGAAACAGATTCCCCTACTGTAATAACTTTCAACGGTAAAAAAATCAGTATAACTAAAAAAACTTATTGATAAATACAAATATTGTAAAGTCAGAGATGATATAGACACAAGAATTGACACAACTGTAAAAAAGGTGGATTTATATTTACCTACCTTTAATATTTGCTGCTCTTACCGCGGCGGATGCAATAGCTGGTGGTGCAGCTGCTGGAGTAAGTACTGCCAACGAAAAGAAAGCTGCTGTTGCAAAAGCTGCTGCTACAAAGGCTGCCGAAGAAAAGAAAGCAGCTGAAGATCATAGACACAATTTAGCAATGGAAAAGTTGGCAGCTGATGTAAAAAAAGATTTGGGGAAGAAACCAAGAAAACTGTTAAACAAGGATTAAATAAATTAGTAGATGGTATTGACACAGGAGAAGTCAAAGTCAAACATAAGGGTAATGGAATATTTTTAAAAAATATACACACTGGAGAAGGAATATTTCTTTCAAAGTATAAAGGAGAAGGAGTGATTTTTGGAATATAATAAAATAATAAAAAATGGGTAAAAAATTTAATTATTCAGAAATATTTCATAATAACCCAATGCTCATGTGTATATGTGGTAGTTCCGGTTCTGGGAAAACTCATCTCACTTTTAACATGTTGACAACACCAAACCTTTTAGATTTCGATTCTTTGTATATCTACACAACAACACCAGAGCAATCATATTATCAATTCCTCAAAGCTTTAGAATATCTACCAAAGAAAGATGTTCAAGACCTATTTCAATATTACGAAGAAAACGAAGAAGAAGTGGAAATAAAAGATGTCATAGATAACTACATCGAAGGAAAGAATCCAACAGATATAAAATGATGTTAATGATCTAGACTTGTCTAATATTGATAGCAAACGAAAGAACTTAATATTGTTTGACGACTGCGTAGCGCAAAGAAATCAAGCTGTTCAGCAAGAATTCTTCAAGGGAAGACATCACAACTGTCACTGCATATACCAATATCAATCTTTTTACGGGATGGATTCTATGTTCATTAGAAAAAATGCAAATTGGTTTGTATTATTTGAATTAAACGATAAAGATTTATCTCAAATCATTCAGTCGATAAATCACGGAATGGACTGAGATACATTCAAAAAAGTTTGTAAAGCTCAATGGAGAAACCCAGATGATCATGGATATGTATTTGTAAATACTAGAAAACCTGCGGGTGAAAGAGTTATGGTCGACATATGTTAATTTTATTTTTTTTAAAATGAGTAGCGATTGAAATAATATTTTAAAAAGAAATAAAGAATATATCAAAGCTAAGAATAAAATAAAGACCCAAGTTGAAAATAACAGATTACAACAACTCGGATTAACGGAAAATCTACAAACTCTATTTCAACCCATATTAAAATCTCAACAGGATATTAAAAAGAAATTAGCTTTAGAATATAAACCTCCTATAGAACCTCATAAAGATCACCCAGAACCGAATCCATATGGTGGTATTATAATTAGGACATTAGATGATATTAATAGTCTTTTTTCAAACCCTAAAGCAGATTTACCAAAGAGTATTACACCAATCATTGATGTTGAGGGGTTATTGTTTAATGGATTTAAAATAAAATTTAGGGCAAATTCCCCTATATTCAAAATCGATACAAAAAACTTAATATTTACATTAACAAAAGGGTTAATAGCTTTAATGAATGGTGGGTATATTGGCATTGGCGATTATAAGGATTTACTAGCATACTCAAAATTTCTACATGCAATAAGAAAGTCGGGAGCCGAAACAAGATGATCGAAAGCAGTTGAAACATATTTAAATAAAGTTATTCCTGATGAATATGATTAAAGTATTTCTCTGTTTACAATTCCATTAGAAATATCAACGAAAAAAATAACCAAATAAAAATATCAACAGATAATGGAGTTACGTTCAAAACCATACGTTTACTACCAGGAAGCTACGAATACATAGCCATTATCCAATACCTATCTGAATATGGAGGAAGTGTCAATGGTAAAAACAATATTGAATTCGAAGGTAATTTGAATCTGAACAAAATAAAATTGATATTAAGAAATAATAGTCAAGTTGATTTCAACGTAGAAAATTCATTAAATGCGTTACTAGGATTTGATAAACAAATATGTACCCAATCCACTTTAGGACCAACAAAGCTAATATCGAGAATGATATCGATGTCATAAATATACATTGCAATTTGATAAACGGTGGATTTTTCAATAAATACAAACGTCAGATTATTTACAGTCTTCCAACATTCACTGTACCGATAGGATATAGAATTATAGAGAAACCATTACAAACGACGTATTTACCACTTAATTCCTTTATGATTAAAGATATAAATCTGGAAATCAAAGATGGTAAAATAAGTAACGAGGAAATTGTTATTCAACTTCAATTAAAACAAAAAAATTAACACTCTTCATTCTCTTCTTGAATAGTTAGATAATCGTAATCATCAAATTCGTAGTTTTCATCCATGTTCAATTCTTTTCCGTCGTTGTAAGGATACATGATTCCTTCATTGTCTGGTGCTTTTCTCTTAACGAGATTTAACTTCTAAAAACTTTCTTTTGTTTATCATCATCCTTTGGAATAACTACTCCATTGGTGAAACTTTTTACCCATGGTTTCTTAAATTCATTCGTTACATCGTGTCCATTAGCTAATCGAATATAATCTTCTACGGTTATCTTTTCTTTAGAGTAACCCTTAAACGTTTTTATTTCTCTTAGAACACCATCGGAAGTTAGGATGATATTGTATTTAATTTTTGGCGCTAAATATAAACCAAACATAATTCCACAATCATCGTGAATGGTTGGAAAAACGTTTAGTTTTAGAGGTGAAACTCGCATTATCATCTGTACAAGTTCTCCATACGTTTTCATCGTAATTATCTTCTATTTCTGTAATGCCTAAGGTTTTGTTATTTCTTCTAATGAGACAGAAATGTGATTTATGTAAGTAAAATACCCAATCTAATTCCTCGGATACTTTCTTTGGTTGAAAATGTCTGTTTGGGCATATAAATTTGAAAATTAGTATTACATTTCTTATTGAATTCATAGATTCTAGCAGTTGTCATAACTCCTTTTCTGTTTGATTTTGAAAAACTGTTGATGAAATCTTGAAATTCTCTCTTGTAGTCTTCGTTTAAAACACGATTAACGCACTTTACACAGCAGTATCCATCGCTCGGTATATAACAATTTATACCGCTATATTCATTGATCTTTTTGAGTAGGGTAACACCACTACCCTTTTTTGATCTTTTTATTTCTTTGAAATTATTTTTACGTAAAATGATTTTTCCTGATCAGAAGCATCCGATTTTACATCCACTGTTGCGAAGAAATTGTGAAAAGTTTTGGCATTAAAGCCTACAAATTGCATTTTTTGTTTGTGATCTCCATCTTGAATTATCACTCCATCAATTCAATTTGTCTTTTAAATGTATCAAATTTATCAGAGATAAGGTTCATAATACTGAAAAAAAAGTTCATTTGATATGAATGTTTCATCGTTTAAAATTTAAATTTTATTCATATTTTTAAGCAACTATTTTTTAACTAGGAATTTTTAACTTTTATTGATGATATTTCTACATCAAATTTATCTAAAATTTCATTGAATTTTTCCAATTCTTCAATGGTTATGTTCTTATCATCTCTCGATCTTTCGTAAAAAATGAATAATTTTTTAAGATATGTATTTAAAATTTCTGTTTTCTTTTTATAATGAGCTTTCTGTTTTGATGTAAAACCTAAAGTAATCAATACACAAGATGAAGTTTGAACGGCAGTGAACGCGGCTAATACAGTTGGGACAATTATTGGAAGCATTAATCCACCGGTTACGGCTGTTGCCACCGTTATCCCTATTGTTAGAACTGTGCTTAATGTTTTGAAAACAGAATCAATTCTACTCCAGGTTTTTCTGCATTTGTTGAATTGTTTTAGTTTTTCTTTTAGTTCGTTTTGTTTGTCTATCATATATTGTTGTCTACTTTCGAGTTCCATTTTTAGGTAATTAAATTAAGTGAACTTCTGATAAAGCAAAAGATGGAAAGTGTTTAAGATCTATAATAGGTTTCCCAATAAGAGGTCCACCAGGCAGTATTTTTTCATTATCTGATATAATTATTTCAGGTTTAATAATAAAAACTTCTACAGTAACAAACGATATTTGTTCTTTCGAATCATTAATCTTATTGAGATGAAGTGAAAATTTTGGTTCATCGATAATGATTCTTATCATACATCTACAAGTATATATACCTCCAACTTCTATTCCATCATTACGTTCAATTATTGATGAAAATATGATAAACTCTTTATCTAGTTGACTTTTATGAATATCGATTGAGGTAAATAAATCAGTTGAAGAGGTATGTTCGTGTGAATAACTATTATTAACAAAATATAGTTTTACGTATTCAAAGTCTGTCGTTCGTAAAAACTCATAACTCATATTTACTTTTTTTGTGATTTCTAATAATACTTACTGATGGTGGACTTTCCGTTTCCAATATCATATTAAAACTACCTAAATAAAGTTGATAATTTTTTTTATCTTGTATGATCAACATTCTAAACCTATTTTTATATTTTCCACTCGTTTTAATTTCATTCAAGAGATCACCCTTGTTGTTTTCGTCGTTACTTTCATATTCTTTAATTTCTACATTTTTTGTACCATTGATAAACTGAAGAACTTTTTGAGCGTTAAATTTAATAGAAGAATTTTGGTTTTGTCTGAAGAATATTGATTCAACTTTTACCTGAAAAGGAAAAGTTATTTCAATTATAATTTTTCCTTTAAAAGTAAAACTGGTATAATCACTAACAAATATTTTATAGGCATCATCAGTATTTGCTTCATATACTCTAATATTTGCTGTAAATCCATGTAATTTATATTCAATCTCCGTTGATTTATCAATATTATTAGTAATAGAAGGATTATTATTATAAAAAAATAATTTTCTAAATGGCAGAGTAATATAATATGATTTATTTTCTTCCTTGAGATACTTTTTTCTAATGCGACTATATTTTTGTCCTGTTTTAAAACTAGGTTATTAATAGTGGTTATCTGTTGTTGAATAACACTATCATCAATGTTCTGTGTTTGTTGTTGAATATAGGTTTTGATTTCGCTATCAACAATGTTTTGTATTTGTTGTTGAATATAGGTTTTGATTTCGCTATCATCTATGTTTTGTATTTGTTCTTTAATATTTCTTAGTTCTTTTTGTAATTCACTGTTAAGTTTAGTTTCCAGTGCATTTAATTCCTGTTGAAACGTATCTTCATTTTCATCTGGAATGTTATCTATTAATTGTTGAATGTCTAATTTTTGTTTTGCAATCTTATCCTCTAATTGATATATTAATGAAATTAAATTTTGTAACTCAGTTTTGTTCACAACGTCGACCAATTGTTATTGAATAAAACTTTTATCTCTTGTTGTAGTTTAGTTTCATTAACAAAATTTTTATTATTGACGTTTGAAGAATCTTTTCACATTACTTATTTTATCTTTTAAATGGTTTTTATTTACTTCAATTGAATTTATTTGATCCCGTAAATATTTTTTGTGAACGGTGTCATTATCGTTTTCCGGAGACTTTAAATTAGTGACTTTGAAATTGTTCATATCTAAATCACCTTGAAGAGTGTCTCCGATTTGATCCACAAAGTAAGGTTTCGCTTTATTTATCCACGCTGTAGTGTTAGGTTTTTTAGTTTCTAAAGATAAAGAACCTAATCCAAACTTGTTCGCCATTTTTATTGTGTTAAATTTATTACAATTTCTTCGAATTGTTTTCCTAAACTCAACTGATATAAAACCCAAAGTAAAAGCTGACCACAAAACTTTTGTCCCGGTAATTGAATTTGAAATGTTGAACATTTGATTGGTTGATTAGTCAATTGCAATATCTCTTCAGTGGGTTCTAATCCATAAGAATCGAAAAAATATAAGTTATTTGAAGAGTCTTTGTACAAAGCAGAATGATGAACTCCTTTTTGATCGGTAGTATGTATATTTGTTATAGCGTAAAATTTACCTTTCTTATATTTCAGATCATTTATTTCATCTCTCATACAATAATAAAACGGTGATATATTGAACTCATTCGCCCATCTCATAAGTTGAAAGTTTGTGGTTGTATCGGTTCCATATTTATCGAGAAAGATATTCATTTTTAAAAGTCGGTTTTTGAAGTTCGTTTTGATAAAACCTACCTATGATTTGTTCTTTGTCTTGATCGATTAATTCATATGTCGGAGGTGATGTGGTGTTTACTTTATCAACAATGAATATTTCGTTTGTCCAGTATCCAACGTAACCTTTTTCGAATTTGCTTTTATATTTGGAAATGCGAACTCGATCTCCGACTTTAAATTTGGGTTTGATATTTAAATTCTTTATTTCATTTTCGTAGTTATGTTGCGCGTTAATTGATTTTATAATATTTGGATTGTTGGTGGCTTGTGACACCTATAGATGAATGAATTTTGTTATTGTATTCATCTACAACCTCTGGTAATATTTTAAGCCATTTTTGAGATTTCAATTCCGTGAACTTTTCGAATAATTTATTTTTTAGAGTTCTATTATATCTCTCAATAACTACAGCTTTACCTTCGTTATGAGTGCTGTAAATTTCAAATCCGGTGTAATTATGACCGGGAAGATGTTTTTCTCCGGGATATAGGATGAGTTTAATTGTAAAACACGAACAACACAGATTCGAAGATTATTCGGGCGACGGTTACTTTTCTTCATTATTTTCTCTAGGTAAAACAATAATTCCAAAAGTAGCTAGCTTTGTTTCAAACAACAAATCAGTCATTTCAACCGGAGCGAAGGCCATCGGTTCAATCGCCCAAGCGGGAAAGAGTATAATCGACACAGTGAAACAATCTAACGAGTTGAAAGAATTAGAGCTAATAAGAGAACTGCGAAACAGGAGATTAGAAGAAAGGAAAGGAAAAGGTTTTAAAGTTATAGGATAAAAATAATAGTCGCTCACGCTTCAAAAACTTATCTTATATACAAAAATCATTGGGTTCTCTTCCTGGATTTCCTGGTAACTCTAATTATTTGCAAAATATTAATTTCTTATGTTCATATCAACATAAATCATCTAGTTTAGAGCCATGGGGTAATTCATCTAATCTACCTATGAATTTGAGAAAGATCACCGATATTAATATTGCAAAATACACCAAAGAAAATTGGGAATCTTTAAGACACGAAAGGGAACCTCACGCTAAAAGAGATACGTTATGTCTCGGAGCTTGTTTGATAAAATACAATCAAGTAATGAAAGAAGTTGTATTTCAGAATAGTTCCAATAATCTAACGGCTCCTTCTTTATCTTTAAAGGGTTGGTATTATTTATATCATTACGATAAAGAAATGGTTGAAGAAGAATGGTATGAAAGTACTAGAATGGTTCCGAAACACACCGAAAAAGAAAACGTAGAAAAAGTTTACTCACATACTCACCCTTTTATAAGATATTTTATCAGACAAAGTATTAAAGGAGGAAGAGTTTCGGCAAATCGAAAATCATTTGAAACGAATGAAATGGATGAAATTTGTAATATATTAAAGGAATACACAGAAACACCAAGTGGTAATATAATTGATTTATTCAAAGAATATAGTGCTAACCCAAAAGATAAAACGGAGGTTCATTCGAGACTTAAAAAAATAAAATGTACTAAACTAATGGCCTTTGATGCTAACGGTTTGTACGCTTCCGCCATGTCGGATTTAGATAGCGAATATCCGAGAGCGGAAAGTGGTAGACCATTTCGACAAGAAGAAAATAAAGAATTTGTTAATCTCTTTAATGAGCAGAAATTCAGACCTAGAACTGCTATTTTAAAATTTTGGTTTGAATATCCTACGAACATGTTCTTCCAACCCATACCAGCTAAAGATAAAATCATTTTCACGAATAGAATAGGTAAAAAGGAAACTAGCACTAAAATCAGGTTCAGAAATGGTTTCTGTCACGACGTTTTAACATCGGTCGATATTCAAGAAATAGTGAAAGCCGGTGGACGAATTATTAAAATATTAGATGGTATAGTTTACGAAGAAAATTTTAAAACTCCACCCTATAGAGATTACATTTTAATTTTGAGAGATCTAAGAAATAAATATAAACGAGAAGGTAATATCGTGGGTAGTAATTGCATGAAATTATTAGAGCAATTCATTGTATGGTAAATCTATTCAGAAGGATATAACTACATCGAGACATCTATGGAGTGAAGCGACTTTAAAAGCCAACTTCGATTCACACGTTATAAACTATGAAAAAGTAAATGATAGTCAATATATAGTTGAGATAAATGAAGAAGAAAAAGAATTTGACTGTACACCTCCTAAATCTACACGACTAACACCTAGTCATTTGGGATCATTCGTTTTATCTCACAGTAAAAAAAAATAATGAATAATTTTATTCACGTCATAGATGGATTTAATAAGCCTGAAATATACTATACGGATACCGATAGTTTATACATTTCGTCTAGCAATTGGGATAAATTAAATGAAGCTGGGTTGGTGTCCGAAAATGATTATTGTAAAGGAAAGAATGATTACGGTGATGGTGGAATTATGTTTGGTTTATATTTAGCGCCAAAAATTAAATACAATATCATTCTAACTTCCGATGGTGTTCTAAGAGAAATAAAAACGTTTAAGGGTTACTCTAAAGAAAAGATAACCGTAGAAGATTATATTCGATTAGCTAATGGACACGATGTAACGAATGAATTTAAGAAACCATGGGTAAAAAGTTTCACCAATGGAGTAGTTATTCCAAAGGATGATGATAAACAAAAGAAAGTTTTTAGAAGTTAAATCTCGTTAAGAGAAAAGCACCAGACAATGAAGGAATCATGTATCCTTACAACGACGGAAAAAATTGAACATGGATGACAATTACGAATTTGATGATTACGATTATCTTACTATTCAAGAAGAGAATGAAGAGTGTTAATTTTTTTGTTTTAAATGAAGTTGAATAACAATTTCCTCGTTACCAAAATCTATAAACCTATTTTTACCATCTTTGATTTCCAGATTTATATCTTTAATCATAAAGGAATTAAGTGGTAAATACGTCGTTTGAAATGGTTTCTCTATAATTCTATATCCTATCGGTAAAGTGAATGTTCACTCCTGTTTTGAAAAGATCTTCTTGTTGAGCTGATAGATCAAAACAGAAGATTGGATGATTAAGTGCAAAATCGACATATTCAGGCTGAGGTGGATTTCCAAATAATTCACACATATTTTTATAGTTTCTATACAATTCATCATAATCCTTTGTGGTTGGATTAATTGTTAAAGGTTGGTTAGGATAATTATCGTTGTTTAATCTTACTTGAACTTTATGGATTATAGGATCTTGAGTTTGGTTCATTGCCACTCTGAAGACATTATTGTTATTCGTTTGAGAATCTGCTAAGTTCTTGAAACCAACCATTAAATATCTTGCTGGTTTAATAGTGTTAGTGATTGGCCACGTGGTGGATTCTCCAGTTAAAGTCATGCTACCTACCGTATTACGATGAAAAAAAGCTATTTCAATATCTTTAGTTAATGAGTTGAATATTCTCGTTTCTACTTCAATTGATGGTGTTATTACGGGTATGAAAAGTTGGAGATTCGTTATTTCTAATTTTGCATCTGAACCATTATTTCCAAAAAATATCTTATCATCGTTGATTTCTCTTTGTAGATGAATTTTATATGGTAACCCTATGGAAACCTTTCTGTGTTCCAACAGACCGAATAAAGGATATAATTTCCAATTTACGTAATTACCCCACCTATTATTCTCAACAGCATTATTGTACTGAAGTACTCGTTTTTCGAATCCATGATTAGCTGCTCGTGCTACTCTTTCTATTGTGTTTCGAGCAAAAACTGTCACTCTAGCTAAATCAGCATCATTTGCAAGATTTCTTACCGGTTCTTTTAAAACACTTCTATCACCAACATCGGGTATCCAACCTGAGACTGAATCGAAATCTTAAGGATATAAAACTGTTTTCAACATTGTGTCGAATTCCCCAGGATGTTTAATTGTTTCTATCGGATTTGAACCAGCTTCCAAAACCATCTCGCTAAATAAAGATGGTAAGAAATTGTTTTCTAATGTTGTATTGGTTTGAGAAACTTGATTCTGAGTTCCATCTTTAATTTTGAAATCACATCTGAAATAAGCATCGGAAAGAAGCAACCAATTCGATAATGAATTTATTTCGAAGGTAATAACGAATCGGATCGTATAATCTAAAGATTGGATCTAGTATTTTATTTGCCATTTTTAAGGTTTAAAATTTGAGTAGAAATTTTTTTTTCTAAAACAAGAGTTATCTCCCTTCTAGACTAAAAATAACATTACTTAAAACGAGGCTATTAAAAATGTTATGTTATTTTTTATATAAGGGTATTTTTAATATGCTTTTTTTTGATGAAATGTAGGAAATTGATTGAAGGTGTTTTTTGGTGTAAAAAATGTAAGAGAGTTTAGGTCTTTTTTAGTCTAAGAATTTATGAAATGTGGGGTATTTTTAGTGTAAGAATTTATGAAATGTAGGATGTTTAGGTCTTTTGCTGTAAGAATTTATGAAATGTAGGGAATTTAGGTCTTTTTTGGGAGCTTATATATTGGTCGCATTTTCCCCATGAAATGAAATGGAATGGGGAATAACCTTGCGACCAATATATAAGCTCATACACTACTGGGTATTTTTAATATGCTTTTTTGATGGAATGAAGGAAATTGATTGAAGTTGTTTTTGGTGTATGAAATGTAGGGTGTATAGGTGTAATTATTTATAAGGGGCAGTAGGGAGTTTAGGTCTTTTTTGGGAGCTTACATATTGGTCGCATTTTCCCCATGAAATGAAATGGAATGGGGAATCCCCGTGCGACCAGTATGTAAGCTCTAGTACTACTGTCCTGGAGATTTGTTCCGAGGCATGCCCTTGAGAGCGTTATATAACTCATCCTTGGTAAAATCGTCATCACAGAATCGGTTTCCTCGGGATCGAGTGAGAATTTGCAAAGAGGCCTAACTAAAGCTTTGTCTTTTGGAACACTAGAATCCTTAGCATAAAGCGCTGAATAGAATGTGCGAGCGGTATCCAAAATATCAAAAGAATCTTTGACAATAACACCATCAGCAGACGCAAGTTCCGTGACCAGATTTGATTTGATTCCTGTATTTGCTTTTCAAGGCGCAAGAAATATGAAGTGCATCTTTCCGAATCTAATGATTCCTTCACTTTAGAGCGCAAGATAGCACCCTGGCACACTCTCAACTCATGTGAAGACAAATCAGACTCAAGCTTTGTCAAAAATGAAGCATCGTAAGGTAAATTTCTGGCTGCTCGGTGATAGATAGAACTCGAACGTTTCTGAAGTATGTTATAATCTTCACGAGCTTTAGCGTACCTAGCAGACGAATATGCAATTGTTCTCTTCTTGATTCGATACTTTAGATTGTCCCACCACAGTAAAACATCAGATTCATATAACGGACAAGCAAGCGCCTCATCAACTATTCGCTGGATAATCAAACGATAGTCAGGGTTCTGGAGAAGGGAATTGTTGAAAACCCAAGTTCCCGGACCACGATCAATCGATTTAAAATTCAAATTCAAACTTACAAAGGTATGGTCACTGAATGAAGTGTGATTGATGGTAGAGTATGATAAAAATCTTTCCAAATCACTGGTACAAAATATGTAGTCTAATCTAGATTGTTTCAGCTGGTAAGTAATTGACGCCTTGTGAATGCAATCTTATCCGGATGGAAATACCGCCAGCAATCGGTAAGACCTAAATTATTTGCAAAGGCTGAAAGTGTTTTACTCTTATCCCCATAACAAGATACCGTCTTAGATCTATCACGAAACGAATTCATTGAAGTCACCACACAGTTACACATGCTGCAAGTTCATCACTCGACGAGAAACAGCACACATAAATTGGCTCCGCATTTTACTATCATTTGGAGCATATATGCAGAATATATTAAATTTTATAACTTCATTATTGAAAACACAGTGAAGCAACCTGCCATCATAATCTGAATATTCACAAGATACATATTTTGAATAAAATTTTGACTCTAGAATTGCACAACCTCGACGACCAGCTGTGTGAGATTGATCACAGGAATAAAAAATATCGCCTTCCCACAAATGTTTGAAATCCTGAATAAAAATTTTCATTCCAGAAGGTTTCCTGGAGTCACAGGATGTCGCAGGATAGAGATTTCGCCATATTGAATACATCTACCATCTTGTATTTAGAGATAAGATTATCATGAAGACAATATTAAATAACTTTATTAACGATTTATTTGGCATGTTTTAAGCGCTCTGAAACAACTTTAAATTTCTCCTGACGTTCCTTTCTTGCCTTCCCCTTTCGCTTCAATTGAATTTTCCCGGACCGGAGTGTAATCTGAGACCTAGAACCAAAATCCTTGCTCTTCTTCCCAGCTGCCGAAGCCTCTGATTTAAAGACGCTATATCTACCTTCATCAAAACCAATACCTGCTGTCATTTCCATAACTTCACCATCATCAGTAAACTGATTCTCATCATCACCGAGTTCATTACACGTAGCATTTAAATCCAATTCCTTCAATTCTTCACCATTTACATCATCAGTACACGATTCACATTTATCTTCAACTGTCTCGGATCTTAATACGTCAATATCCACAACATAAGAGTGATCAACAGCTATAACATCACTAGGAACGTCGGTGACACCAACATCCCAAACAGCCTTAGGTTGAGAAGAACATCTTACTTTAATTTGATCACAATCATCGCAGTATGGATGAATACAGTTACGCCTAATATGACCACTTTCACCACATGCCGACATTGACGAGTTGGGCAATGCGCATTTAGATGATTCGGAGATAAACAAGTAAAACAAACCTTTTCTTGATTATCATGTCTTACTCGAAAGTAATCAACACCAGCCTCGGTTTCAAAAGCAACGGAATAAGGCAAATAATGACGTGCCAGTCGGGAAACGCACTTTCATGTATCTTGTTCCTTCATAAATATCATCATGCTCATACTTTCTCCTGTGGATAGGACCCTCCAACTCAACTTTCCAATTTTCGAGTTTCTCCATGATCGCATTATCAGGAATTACAAATGAGAGGTGCAAGAAGGACACTACATTTATCCTCGAATCCATAAATTTAATCAGTACAGGCTCACCATTAATGCTACAGTCCGACTCAACAAGTAATCTTGCACTTTCAACACCAGTTTGAGTTACTTCATAATTATTACCTGAACGGGAACACATGACAGGATAGCATCAACTGTAGTTGCTAATTTGTCATTCACAGTAAGAATGGTTGTGGCTTCTTTAGAAAAATTCGGTCTATTTCGTGTAGAAAGTTCTGACAGAGGGACAAAAAGTCCCACAAATGCAACAAAAACCAAAAATTACACTTAGTTATTAATAAAAAAAAAAGTTATTTTAACACATAAAAAAGTACCGGATGACAAACAGATTACTAGATATGAACAAATTTTGAACACGTAAATATCAAAACACGACCATTTAGAACCAATATTCATTCGGAGATCATCAGTCAAGAATTGTGCCTTCTAGAGTGTTTACGATCAATTGTAAACGGACGAATGGACGGACAGTGGTGACGACATATATGCCCCCCACCCCCTCCCCATTTCGTTTAAAAAGTCTCAGAATGTGGCGTCACACATACTTATTCAGAAGTCCCTGGGCCTGTTCTGGGTGTGTGATGAGAGAGAGTACCCATACGAGATATGTTTGATGTGGATCATATTTTAGGAAACTATGTTGTGAGGTTCTGTTATATTTACTTTAATGAAATTCTCTTCAAGGGAAGTAACTTGTATATAATTTTCATCAATGAGTAATAAGTATGTCAAAGTGATTTCATATTCACAATCATCTGAGTAATTTTGACAAAGTCAGGCTTTTAGACATTTTCAGGCCTTAAAACTATCTTATGACAGTAAACGTTTTATTGACAAAGTAAATATATAAGCTACTATGTACTAATCTATTATGCCGTTATTCAACAGCGTTTGTACGCCCCATTTGAGTCACCTTCGGGCAGCCTATTTCGGAATTTCTGATATTAATATTGTAACTTTCACTAGACCAGTCATCATATTAAATAGACTTTCAGGGGAAAAAAGAAAAAAAGTCACTAAAACTTTATGTGTGCCAATCATCCAACTGAAATTTGAAGCTAAAAGGAAATTTAATTGATTAATATTGATAGACGAATCCTTTTAACAAGAGAAGAAGTAATGAAGTCAATATCTCGCGGGAGAAATTTGACATTTTAATTTGTTGGAATCCAGATGAAAGATTGTATAAATTAAATCAAGAATAATTGATTTCTATTTATATTAATTGATAAACAAACAGACAAAAAATTGGTTAAAGAGAAAATAAATGTTATCGAACATTCATGAAATATATTAACGTTAAAGACAATATTTCTAATTGAAGGCAAAGCATTGAGATTCTACAATGATTGATTTTTGAGACTACTTAAATTCTTATCGAACAGTATAAGTATTGAAGAGAGATATGGTTTAGTAGAACCAATATCGATTAACAGACCAGAGACCTTTATTTTATACATCTATCAAGTCTTCCTGAAATTTTACTGCTACTCTGTAAATAATGTCGTGATTTTTGCTGTTAGAGATTGATTTTCACTTCAAGGGACGTAACTGCATTTTTTGAGTTTGAAAACGTTTTTTGCATATTGCCGTTTTGTCAAATCAGATTAAACCATCACTAAAGATAGCTTGCCAGGCAAGGTAACATACGCCCACTACCAGCTGTCAGAAATGACAACAAAATATTTAGTCGCTTAATAATGAATTTTCAAATACTATTAAAATCATCTATAACAATGTCTCATCGCTGTACACACAATTGCAATAACTCAAAAACTGTTCTTCGGATTATTACCAATTTCTTACTTGACCGAGATCTCATCATGCATATATAGTTTCATCAAGATTAGATAAAAACTGTAGTCTCTAACATGACTGCAAGCCGAATTTGACAAGTTTAGGGCAATAACTCCGAGACCCTTCATCCGATTGTTACCAATTACGAACTCGAGTGAGATCTCATCAATATATACATGCATACCAAGTTTCATCAAGATCAGATAAAAACTGTAGCTCTATCGTGCCTACCATCGAAATTTGATTCGTCAAGTACAATAACTCTGAAACCAATCATCCGATTGTTACCAATTACGAACTCGAAGGAGATCTCATCAATATATACATGCATACCAAGTTTCATCATGGTCAGATAAAAACTGTCGCTTATATCGTGCCTAAAAGCCGAATTTGACATGTTTTTACTAAATCAAGGGCAATAACTCTGAAACCATTCATCGGATTACTGAAACCGTTCATCCGATTATTACCAATTTCAAACTTGACTGAGATCTCATCAATATATTGACTCAGATCTAATCAATACATACATGTATACCAAGTTTCATGAAGATCGGATAAAAAATGTAGTCCCTATCGTGCCTATAAGGCAAATTTGACGCGTTTTTACTAAGTCAAGGGCAATAACTCTGAAACCATTCATCGGATTACTACCAATTTCGAACCTGTCATGAGCTCTCATCAATATATAGACGGCTCCATACATTTCCATGTGAGCGTATAAAAACTTTTATTCACTTTACACTGAAAATATTGTCATAAATAGACAATTGAATATAATGCTGATTGTTTGATATTCACTTCAAAGGAAGCGACTAGTAACTTCTCGAGCAAAACTGATACTTATACTAGCCTAAAAAGAAATGGAATGTCAAGTAGTGATTAAAGTGAAATGTATATAATTGAAACGCTAGAACTGAAAAACTATTTATTTCATTATGCAAATGGACCATGGTTGCCACAAAAGTGCTAAAACGTCTTATTTGAATAGTAAAACTATAATATACAGATAAAAACAAGAACAACAATTTCTATACATTACCTAAACTTCTATACGTACCTAAACTAGAGAAAATCCAGTTGAAGTGAAACATAAATTTAATTAATCCAAATGTCTGGAAAAATTCTTAAACTTAACGTTTGTTTGTATATAGGAGTTTGTTTTGTACGGTACTAGTGTTTTCTATAATAAAAAAATAGTTCAAATTAATGTTTGCTCACAGTTCTATAACATAAGCATTTGATTTTTGTCTGTTGTATTCTGTCATGATCAACAACAGGAACTCCCATATTTGTAGGTAGGTCCTAATTCGTGTCGTGCGTCCTCCTGAGATAATGACTGATCAGCTGACACGCAGTCTCATCCTGTGATATCCGAGCCTCTGTAGATAATCTCTGATGGTCGGGGTAGGGCTATCATATGCATAAGTCAGGCACTCACCTTCGCACCTGTTTTGATCAGGCTAATATCTTCTGATGTTGATGGCTTCATGAAGTCTATGTAAGATTAAGCTTGTTTTGTTGCTGGTGCAACTTAATGCATTTCATTTCACGAAGTCTCCTTGTTTTATCAACTCATCTATATGATTATTGATTGCCAGTATGATGATTTCAGCCACCGCAGATATTTCTTCATTACCGGGCTCATCTTGATGTCTTTGAATCGTTAATCAAGAGGTTCTCCCTGTATATGTACTTCCACATGAACACTCAATTTGGTAGACACATCCCGTTTTGTTTTTATGGGCTTGGTTGTTGTAGGGATTAAGTTTATCGCTGACTCTGAGCAAGTCTTTTAGCTTGGGGTTGTCAGAAATCACTGATTCCAGACCAACAACTAACTTCTGAGGGATCTTCTTAATTTGGTATGATGCCTTCCCAATGAAATGAATAACTGTTGTTGGTTGTTGATCGAATAGCTTCATGTACAACGGTTGAAGGGTTGTTGTGCCAACAAAATACATTCTTGATGTGTTGTAATTCTTGTTCTGGGTCACAAATCTTCTGATCAGTTATGTGTTGGCTGCCCTTTTGACATGGTCTACGTGGTCTCTTTCCTATTGATAACAATTCTTCCGAGTCTTTAATGAAGGAATTAGCTGTTTGCTCCAAAGGTGTCAAATTTCTGCTGAGGTGTTAGGCGATGTTAAAGAAAACAGAGTACTAACAGCAGATGAGATTGGATTTGTGTGGAATTTTATCGTATGGCATATGATGAACGAGAGCGCGGCTTGATCTATCTGCTTGTTCAGTTTTTACGTAGTTTCCTGTACGTTTCCTGCATCTTAAATTAATCATACGTAAGGCAAGAAGCATGTTGACGGAGAGGTCTGAGGATTGGTCATCGTAAGCCTGGGGTTTATTATGAATTATTGTTCGTCTTTAAGATTGTATTATGCCATCGGCTATGTTTTGCGGGTAGTATCCGTTGCAGAAATACTTAACTAATGGATTAAAGATATTTTAACCTTTGATGGGCCGACCAGATGTCATCAACCATTGCGATTTTTCTTGGTTTTGTTTTTTTGTTTTTTTATACGCCCACATGAATATGTGGTCGTATATTGTCGTCGCCGCTGTCCGTCCGTCGGTCAACATTTCTTGTGAGCACTATAGAGACTACAGTTTTTATCTGATTTTGATAAAACTTGGTGTGATGCTTTAGATTGATAAGATCTCGGTAAAGTTCGAATTTGACATATTTTCGATGAAAAGTGTTAGAGATATTGCCCTTAACTTAGAACGCCTTGAAATTTGTTAAAAATTGTTCGTGAGCAGGTTTGAAGCTACAGTTTTCATCCGATTCTGATGAAACTTGGTGTGATCATTGGAATTCATAAGATCTCGGACAAGTTCTAATTTGACGCATTTTCGATGAACGGT